ACAAGGGATTTTTTTCATTCGCGATCGCCTACAATTATTAACAAATAAATGACGTTGCTCATATAACGAGCTCGATCAATAAAATTCGAATAGCGTTAAAGACTATATAACATGGAACTGATTATGGCTACATAAAAACCTATTGATGTAAACTTCGATCATTACACTTATTACAAAATCCTGCAATATTGTTTATCAGTAGAAGCATAAAATTCTAAGCTGTAGATTTTTGCTAGGAATGACTAAATACATATATACACTTTGCATTCCTTCTCTTTATATGTGGTTTACATTACAATTGGTGATACAGTTATGACAAAAAATATTTGCATGAATTAATTATTGATAGAGTTATTACGTTCCGAAAATTGTAACATGTACTCAGGAAGTTACTCAATGATAAATCATTTGAGTAAGTAATTATTAGGTGAGTAAGTAGATAGGGTCACTTGAATTAGGAACACAATCGTTTACTCTAAGAATTGCAACCATAGATTGAACAAGCGCTTATTCTCTATAAATTCTCAAGTTATCATAAACTAGACATTTCATAAAATAGACTTTAAACAATTTTATTTTAAAAACTATATATATATATATATATATATATATATATATATATATATATATATATATATATATATATAACAACTTCAAATGATTAATAGTAATAATGCCGTACAATCGGATAAATATAAAAGAAAAAATAATTAAAGTAATGAGCCTGTCATTTTTCTTAGAAGTTTGATATTAATATAATTTAAGAGGGGTTTTATGGAAATTATTTTAATTTGAAAATAATATCCGTCACGGACTGATGTCCTTCGCTTTACCATGGAGAACAACAAGTGCTGGGGAGCTATTTCGTTGTAGTATGGAATAGTTGACAGTGTTTACCCATGGCTACACTATGAATTGTTGGGTTCTATCTCAGATTGATTGAAGCTGGGATTGAACTACTGGACGTTAACCCAGTGGTTCTAATGGTTAATGATTTGTTACAGGACATATAGGTCCTGATTTTGATATCCGAAGGATTCAAGTGTACACGTTGTTGAGAAGTTCATACTACGACGTAACAGCTCTTCATTGCTTTGTGATTGAAACCGCAGCTGAGATCAATCTGTGAAGAATCTCACCTAAAAACTCGATCAGTTTTCATGAAATTTCTCATAAAGAATAATAGCGTCTAGTAGTGTTATCTATAGACATCTTCTGAGGAATCAGGTGCTTCGGAAATTAGGAGTATACATAATGCACCAGTGTATGCAGAAGTGCATGGAACTAATAGGGGCCTGAAGGATTCGTACTCCAATTCCGTTGGCTTCCATTTCCATGAACTATTACGATAAGCCAATGCATTGCATTGACATTTGTGGTGCATGTTTCCACAAATCTAATTCAAATATCCATCTGTCTCCTTGGAAAATGTAGATATTGAACAACTACATTTTGATAGCACACTGGGAGAAACAGCTTTATTAAACTATTACACCTACCTCTTTCTTTAGGAAGGACTGGGATGTTCTATGGCAGCTTTGCGACCAGTCCTACAGGACACAAGCTTGATGTACGGTTTCCGCTCCCGATGGAACTGGGAATCAAAAATGGTAAAATGTTCCCTGCTTGAATTCTCTTACTGCACTCTTGAGCTCTTCCAGCGACGGGGGCGCTACTGGAAACGATCCGAACCTGAATTGGTAATAGTGTGATTATCCGAGCTCACTTTTATCAAAATATTCGTCATCGCATAAATTATTAGTTTTTCCATCAATATTAAATCGATAGTAACCAGTAAAAACCTTCTTAAAACTATCAATATTATTGTACGACAGGTTTAAGGAAAGCGAGGGTGAAGGTGTGAAAAATATTTTCCTTAGTGGGTGGTTGGGTGAGAATACCAAATTTAAAGCACAGACGGTTGAATGTTATTCTTGATGAACAAACATCAGGTAGAAAATTTCAAAGCCTTTTTAAGTGACTAATCAATAGTGAAGTACTAGTTTTCTCAAATTTTCTTAAGATATGGATTTCAAATACCGGAAGTATTGCTTTTTATGCTCAAGACAAAATAACTCACATTTTCTTATTCTTATTCCTTATATAAACACAACTAATTTTTAAAATTTCTATTTGATTACATTAGTACATCGTTTTTCTGCTTTCTTCTAATTCATAATGTTTTGTACATTTGACTGAATGATTTAATAATCTTTTAAATTTTACATTATCGTTGACTCTTGTTTAATTATGTGATTACGTAACAGAATACAAACAATTTCTGATATGTCATGTCGTTATCTTCAGATAAATTGATCATTGTTTGTCACGAATGATTTAAGAAATTTGTATTCCACTTCCATACAACTAGTGGTGACACTGTGCTCCCTAAACAACATGATTTAATTACAATTTTTTGTGGTGTGTGCTAGTTATATCGACATAAGTAGTATATAACGTTAGTCGTAAACAGAATGTCTAGCATCAGAGAGACAAGAGGACCGAACAGTAAAGAATGGAAACAGAATACAGTTTGTATGAAGATGCAAGAACAATGAAGTCTGAGTCGTTTTCAGACAATTGATGGACATTTCGCAAATTAAGCATTTACTATACGATTCTTAGATTTTACTAACAAGTCCTGTAATTTTGTGTCTAATACATTTGATTGTCCCCACTGGTGTTCTGCCCACTAAATTTTCACTGTCGTTCTTGGCATAATTATCACTATTCTCCCGTTATCACATTGATGAAATAAGCGTTATCCTCCCTGTAAAATTCATCAATTTCTGTTATTCAGCAAGAACGGAAATTAGTTGCATATACAAATAATTTACCAGTGTATTTTCTTCGTAGACAATATCGAAACTTCTAAATACCTGGAAAAAATTTGGCAAAGTTTGATAGTAAACTGCAACCAAAGTCTAATTGAAAACTAATGGCTTCGCAAAGGCGAACTACGAAACATTCGTCTGAACATAAATAACGGAATTTATCTCTGTATAAAATATCGGACTAAATAAAAAAGAAAAGAGTGTTTTAAGTGTTCGATAGTAATACTGACCACTATTAGATCAAAATACTTTATACTGAGCCTTTGACAAGGTAGATATATCATCATATTTATAGACATCATTTCTAATGGTTTACCAAAGGAAAACAGGAAAAATATAAGAAGCACTATTCTGGCATATTCAATTAATAGTGATCACTATACTTATATAAAGAGAATTCTGTCAGAACAACTCAATGTCTCAAAAACTCGTCTTATGCGCACAGCACAAGTCATAGGAAATCGCATAAATATACCAAATCTTTGTGTATAATAAAACGTTTGCCTTGTTTTTCAGTTTACTCTGATATCCCATTAAGATACCCTCACATTTGTGATGCGTTTTTGATTTTCTCTACTTTATTAGTATAGGGGAGCTTGTGGCGATTGTAGAATGTGCTTGGTTTAAATCAAGAACTGAGCATGATTAGAAAACCATTGAAAATCTGGAAGCTCTGGACAGCGTTTTATGTGTACGCTTTTTAGTATGTTTTAGTACGTTTTCACAAAGCTGCAAATAGATTGACTTCTTTCTGATGCACTCATCCCAAGGTCACTCTTAACATCTTTTCAAACCATCTTCACAGTGCCGTTTTACCGTTAGTTATAATAACATTGATTCAATTAATGTGTAGTTCACACCTTTTTGAACGTATAAAGATAAAAGCAAAAATATTATTTTTATTATTTAAGACTGAAAGGGTATGTGTTGGGTTATCTATTATTAAGTCTGATTCATTGGAAAGTCGCTGACATCCAGTGAACATCAGTATCTGTAAAAACAGTTCGATATTAGTAAGCGGTAATAAATATGAAGGAGAATGAAACGTAAACTAATAGAATATAATGTCAGTAATATGACAGATAGTGATATTGTTACAAATAGACAAACTGAAAAACATTTCAACTTATTTGCAAACTTATTCTATTCTATACCTACCAAAGATATCTTCCAAATAATGAAGTGAATGTTAACTTTAAAGAAGTTTATCTGTAAAAGGTTTAGAATCAAAATTACTGAATGTAGTACGAAAAAATTAAATACGTTACAATTGTCATGTGCCAAGCAACTGGCTACATCCGGTCTTATTTTCCAATTTGACCAGGAAAGCAATCCCATATTCGCTTGTCTCTGTGTGTTCGCAAGTTTTGAACATTAAACCCTTGGTTCCTTTTCGAAGTGTCCCCTGTCTTACGTTTTGCTATAATTGAATAACTTCTAGATAGTAGTTTAAGAAATGTGGGAAGCATAAAATCATTGAGTTATCACTTGACGAAAGTTAAAGATGCAGATTATTGGATATTGACTTAATGAACTCAGGGTAATGTGCCAGCCACAAGACTTAGAACTCCTGGATTCTGTATTGATGATGTAGTGGGTACTTACTATTTGACAGTTTCGGACCTGTAATGATTCAGTATTCATTGCATTTCAGTTTTCTATGATTACTTAGTTTAAGTCCGTCCATAATGTTAACTCAGCTGAAAATGTTTCTTACCACTTTATAAAAATTAACCTATATATTTAAAAGTGACATTAGGTTATATTATTGATTTGTTTGTGAATGAGAAATTTCAAAAATAAATTTCAAAGAAAAACTTTGTACCACATTATACATAGACTGAAATTTTCCGACTGAATACAGGAAACTGTAAAGCTACTTTCGTAAGATTGCTACAAAACTGAAAGAGAAACGAAAATTAGTACAAATTATAATTTAATATTTTTCCCACCAAAAATATGTGCTTACACATATTTATAAGAGCATGAACACATACGCACAGAAACTATATACATAACGACACTTAATATCATTCACTTTGTGTGTATACTCAGATGAATGAAATCAAAGTATATCACACTAATGATTGGACAATGAATTTACTTATTATTTTTTAATATTTTTTTCTAATAATTAGTTTTATTATTATTAAATGAGTTAAACGCCTACAATCAAAAACCTATAAGCATACTGATATCAATAATTACATATATTTATGGAATGTACTACCAAAGAAATTTTAAATTTGTGCACCAATTCAGTTTTATCAATTGTATGTGAATGCGCAGGTTCTGTGTGTCAATCGTATTGAACGTTGAACATGATATATATATATATATATATATATATATATATATATATATATATACGCAACAATCATACATATATATTTGCACTCAATTATTTAAATAAATCAACACACTAGTTCACGTACCGATACATACCATTTCATACATACACATACCCACTTTGTAAGCATAGGTAATTTGATATAATAAACAGTAGAAACACAGGAAACGATGATATTCACTCCGGCCAAAATGATCAGCAACGATTGTCTGTTATTTTATTTTGTGATTTGAATATATTCCAATTATTGCATCCTATGATTCACATAAAATAATGTTCTATAATTATTTACTCAATATTTAACTATCAAGAATATTAGAAAAATCTTTCTGAAAATTGTATGGAAATTATATTATTAATCAATTGGTGAACTGAAATTTTAATCACTTAGAAAAGACATAGACAAGAACTGTTGAAAACATAGAGGATTTTGACGACCATAAACAACGTCATTATTATTATTATTAACAACAGTGACAAAGTACGAAACGAAATCAGAACAAAAACAGTCATCAGCACTACGCAATAGAACGGGGTGATGCACGAACTATTATTTTTCTTTGAAATCTATTTTCTTATACATTATGCATGGGAATTTGGATAAAATTACATTGAATCTTTTAACTTCTATGAAAACAATGTAATATTGTAGTTTATGTGTGAACTTTGAATTATTTATTTCAAAGAGTGAAAGGCAGAAAGTGGAAAATAAATATTAAAAAAAAATTGAAAACTCAACGCTTGATTTATCAAATCAGTAATTATTTCACTAATCAATTTATTGAATAATAATTAACAAACAAAACAAGATAAGTAAGATCACTTTGAACAAATTCATGTTCAATTCCCAGTGGACGTTGTCAAGCTTATCACCATTATTGTCAGCTGTTTTAAATTTATCAGAAATACGACATCATCAACAACAACTACTACTACTGATAATAATAATACTGGTAGTGCTACGACTTTTATTAATATCGTTGATTTTAATTCACTATTATTTTAATCATTCATCTCATTGTTATCTCACTGGTATCTTTGAGTGGTTTAACAACTGTCTACCCTCATCACATTCACTCACTTCCCCTTTTTCTTATTTCGTGGAGTTAATATCACTGCCATCCTCAGCACTGACATCCTCGTTGTTACTATCACTGTCATGGATATTCTGCATATTATTTGGTGCTTTAAGTATATGGTTCTGGAAATCAGTATGTTACCTCGGTACACGATTATATCATCAGAAGGATATACTACTATTTTTCGGAAACAGTATTAATGATATTCGTAATTATAGAATTTACAGTAAAATAAATGTCATACTACTTACATTCCACACTGATTCAGTCATTTTCATATATAATCTTATCAGTGGATGGAATTCAAGCGATACGTTGAAGAGTATAATTAAAACATCAAAAAGACTTACACAACGTAAACGTTTAAGTCATGGAATGAGTACATTATTCAATATATACTTTGGATTATTAATTTATTTAGAACTATGTGGAATTGATTATGCTGAAAGTAGACCGATTTCAACCGAAAATGAACGCAGATATGGTAATTTAGATTTACATCCGGCTAAATCATCATCACAACAAAAGACACCAAAAGTGGTTATGCCACCATATGACCTTGGGTTTAAAGGTCAAAAAACAGACGAACTGAACAAAGTAAAATTATATCCCCTGTTATCATCATCATTATCGTATCCTACATTTTTGAGTGATTTTAATGATAATTTCGATCAAATGAAAGGTTTTCAGTCAGATGAAACATATGTAAGAGATTCTCAAACACAGCAGCAGCAAAGAAAACAACGCTATCAGAGAGTAAGTCGTGATAATTTTAACTCACAAGAAGAGACCGACAATGATGATGAGGACAATGCTGTCGAATTTTTCAATACACGTTTGATGTATGATTCGAAGTTGTCTCAATCTAATCATCTTAATAAGAATAGTGTAAGATCATACGGACAATCTCCATCGGTATCATCATCAATACCATCATTAACAGAAAGGGAGACAAATGAACGAATTGACTATAGAAGAGTAAACCTTGCACCTTCTAAATCAACAATACAAAAACAGATATCATACTCCTCATATAATCCATATACAAGAATGAATAACTATCAAGAATCGCTTTATATACCTGACCAACAAAGTATGTATGAAATGAATACTCAACAGTACCCCCGCGAACAAGAGAAGACATGGACCAGAAAGGATAATAATAATAAGCCATACCAACGTCATGAATTATATGATGGTTATACAGCTCATATGAATCGTGAAAATCCGTCTAGTTGGTTTCCTTTTCCCAATTATCAAACCAATAATAATAATCCATTGAACAATAGACCATTATATTCACAACAATCAAAAATACAGCACCAACATCAACCATCTTCAAGTTTAAATAGTTACTCATATTATAGCACCCAAACAAAAATATTGATAGTAATAATGACATTAATAAACGTAATCCATTATCATATTTTCCTGAGATTTCGGATATTCAATTATCTCATCTAATTTATCAGTACCAAATGGAATTATTACGTCGACAATCTGGACGTTTACCCGATATTGATTATCAAATGGAGCATAATTACTATGGTCAACCGGCTGAATCGTCTTCACACCAGTTACCTAGTAAGTTTATTACGTTTTAAAACATAAGTCTTTTAGACGTTTATGGTTTGTATGTAAAATAAACCGTAATTGATTGCGGGGTCAACGGGAGATAAAATGAATTTCAGCGAACACTTTTTATCTTGTAGGTTATATCTTGAAGTTATCACAGTTATGCAATCAATAAAAACCAAAAAGCATTTAATAGCTGTTTCGTTCTTCTGTGGGACTCGGGGAGTCAAACCCAGGACTGCTAGATCTCCTGAAGGATGCTTAACTCTTGGGCCACTAAGCCAATACCCGAATGTTTTCATTCATAACTTTTATTAATTTGCAGTATTGTACAACCATCATGTAGTCCTGTTGGTTGGTAACTATCTCACACCCAATATTGTTGAACTTCACGGATTAAAAACTCCAGCCAGTGCTCCTGGAAATAACTTTTGGAATTAGTCATTACCTAGTGTATGATTATGATTAATAAATTTAGAGTTTAATCTGCTGCCGTGAAATATGAAGGTCCTGGGTTTCATCCATGGTAAGGTCGTGGATGAGGACTTTAGAAGATTTCAATACTGTGACCTTTCAGCTGTGTCGTGTCTCCTGGCTTCCATCAGTTATCTAAATAAGGTCCCTTTGTGATGTCGCCTATAAAATTCACTTATCCCTATGAACCCCCCGTCCTAATATTTCTTTCTCTGCTCACGATTCCTTCTTATTAAATTTCACATTTACAACCAAGCAATTTCTGTATAATCTCAAACTAAGAAGCTAACCTTTAATTAAATTGCCTTTTACAAAACACGGAACTAAAAAAATGATAATTGCATTAAAGTGTATGTACAGTGTATTTGAGCACAAACTTGGTGATAAGCTATAAAAAGCAGTTCAGGTATATCTTTATGTAGGTACCTGTATGAGTGTTGTTAATGTTGAAACAGGTTCTGCCAATCTAGATATAACGATCGCATGTACTGTAGCTTGCTTGTGACCATAAGAGGTTTTGTTCATAGAATTGGTGATATCACGTGCATTGTACTTAGTGCTGACAATGTGTGTCCAGGTACTGAACTAATGATGAGTCAGCAGGTGTTGTCATACTAAAACTTCAGCTTGGTAAATTACACATCAAGAGTATCGTTACAGTTAAACTTTGTACAGTCAATCAAATAAAGACACGAAGGCGGTAGAGAATGTCAAAATGGTCTCATGTCTATGGCATAACATGGTGAAAATGTAGGTGGTTATGTTAAGTTCGTATCAATAAGTCCATTACAAGGTACTGAGGTTATGTTGATTGGTATAATAAGAAGTTATTGATCCCTAATGGGGTTATGGGTATACATTACTAGAGGGACCCACAAAAGACGAAACAACTTCCCAGTGTTTGCTGAGCTTCAGTGGTATCCCAACTGAGAAATGGTAGTGCTGGTAACTTTATAGCTCAAAGTTTATAATTTCCGATACTTTTCCCTCTTTATCTCCTAGCGATTTTCTCCAATGTGTTTCTTTCCAATGTTATCTCTTCGCTTCATAAGCAACATATCTTGGTGATGCATTTTACTGAGCATTTGCGTTGTAACATGAAAAAATTACACAAAACCATGTCAAAGTGATGATTTATTAAAGTCAGTAAGTGATCCAGTTCATGATAAGTTATAGTTGATAAAAACCTTGTAATTAGAATAACCCATAGTGTCATTGGATAAGAAAAAGAGAATTCAGCGAAGAAAATTTTCTTATCGACGAGATAATTTACTTAAGCTGTACATCCGTATATATAGTTATATGGAAAATGTATGTCTGTAGGAGGATAGAAAAAATTGCATCACCAAAATGGATTCGAGGATAAATAACAAATGAGGTTACGTACTAATCAAGGGGTAAGGAAGAAAATAATTTATGGGTCAGATAATAGGTCCAATTGACAGATATGAAGAAAAGGGGCAAACACAAAGGTCATAATAATAAACTGAATAATAATAAAAAAAACTTGTATAAGGTAATAATAATAATAGTAACTGATAAGAGTTTAAAATGCAAAATAGTAATTTAAAAAAATGCGATAATAATCAAATAAAGGTGCAGAAAAAACAAAAAGCATACCCATTAAGAGAATTAGGGCCAAGGAAGGATGAGAGGTTGGACAAATCGCTTCTGCACTCAAAGTTCAGGCTTTAGTTTGTGGATTGCCAATGCCTCTGCGGTGCATAAAATATTGATTCGAACCCCCTTCGATCCAATTCCTTTGACTCTGTAGATCACTTTAAAAGAAGAATGTTTGGGAGCGATGAGTCCAAAATTGATTAAATGCTCCTGTATAGAACTAGTGATTGTCTTACATTCTCCTTTTAAAAGCCAAGCCAGATAGTGTTATGAGATGTGTTTGGAAAGTAATTGCTTTGTTCGGCCTATGTAATAAGCCCCACATGAGCACGTAAATTTATAAATACACATTGATGTTACCCAAAGCTATAGTTTATCTTTAACACATTCAGGAATGGTAGGCTGGCTTGAGAAAACTATTCGGAGCTTGGCTGTGTGGAAAGTTTTATTCAATGATTTTGAAATCCGTTTATTTAAGATTTCAGCAGCCGTGTCTCCTTTAAATTCCATAATCATGAACAACGTTTCCTTCTATACTGTTGATACTTTCTCATGATGAATTCTAGGTGTTAAGTTACTATCGATGAATCTAGGTGGATAACCGTTTCTGATGACAGTTTGTAGAAGTTGAATTAGTTCCTCGTCTATTGTGTCAGTGGGACAGATTCGCTTGATCCTAGAGGATAAAGAGTGAATTAAGTTCCTCTTTCTACTCAATGAGACCCAACTATGGAAATTAGTGTAGTGTCCATTCCAGGTAGGTTTTCTATATATAGATCGCTGTAAAAACCATCAGGCATTCTTTTTAATCGGACATCAAGAAAATGAAATCCATTATTTGGCTCTGCTTCTAGGGTGAATTGCATTGAGGAGTGACAGTTACTGAAACTTCAAAATTTCATTTAGGTCTGTGGTGGACCAGACCATATATAAACGCAAAAAGTATCAACAAAGTTAATAAAGATCAATAGAAATGTTAATATATATAAGTTAATTATTACAAATACAATAGAAAGTTGGGACTTTACTTAAGTTCACCAAATTGATGAGTGTTCGGCTTTGGTCTGGTACTAAGAAACCACAATTATACATGCTTGGTAATTCCGATCTGGTTGACGAACGCTCCAGTGATATAATCCAACGCAGGATGTGATATATTCCAATTACAGTCTATAAACGTAGATAGTATTTGATTTAGACTTCAGTTAACTCAATCACAAACGAGGATAGGACGAGGAATGTGTGAGTAGTAGTGTATTTGTTAGCCAGCAAGAGTATGTCACGCTATGTCAGTATTACAACGGAAAGTGTGTTCAAGGTCATTTACTAAAACAACAGGTACAATCATTTAATGATAAAATATACAGACAGTGAAAGATTGACAAAATAAATACAAATAATATTAAAAGCTATTTACAAAATAAGCTTGTCAGGCCTATTTCCACAGGTCCATATCTTCTTCACAAATCATCCATATATCTCTTCTATAAATGAAATCTCTCAATTATTGGACGAAGTACAGAATTTTCCAGATTGGCCATGAAGCAATCAGCCAAGAGCGGATCCAATGGAGAACCACTTGCAACTCCGTCTATTTGTCTATAGAAAACATCATTAAATCTAAATTGCACGTTGAGCGCACATCGTAGTAGTAGTTCTTTAAGGTAGTGTTTTGGGATACACATATCAAGATTACTGTTTTCATTATAGTCACATAAAAGACAAATGGTTTCTGTGAGAGGAACATTTGTAAAAAGAGAAGTGACATCTAATGAAAATATTTTCTTACCAATTACGTTGATATTTCTAATTAAGTCGACAAATTCAAAGGAGTCAAGAGAATTGTATTTATTGACATGATTTTTAACAGGTTGTAAAATGTCAACTAACCATTTAGCGACCAAGTGATAAGGAGAGTTGTTCATATCAGGTATAGGACGTAGTGAGGCATTATTCTCATGAACTTTTGGGAGTCCATATAGTCTTGGTATAACGGAACCCGATGGTTTGAGGTATTCATGGAGGTCACAATTGATAATAGAATCATCTTTCATTTTCTTTAAGATTTTAACTAGCATCTGTTCAGTTTTTTCAGTTGTGTCTTTTTGAACGGTCTCAATAGAGAATTTGACAGGATCAGATAATATCGAAGATATTTTGGTAACATAGTCAAGACGATCCATAAGGACAATTCCTGCCTCCTTGTCTGGGCGACATAACACTAAGTCCTAATTTCTCCGAAGATCAGATAATTGAGATTTATGTTCTTTTGTGAGTAATCGACTAATTGCAGGTGTTTTATTTACATATTGATTACAAAAATCCATAAGAGTTGTTTTGAAATGCTCAAAATCTTCATTAGATACTGGAATAAAGTCGTTAGTCTGACGAGTGAGGCTTTCAAACTGGATTTTAGCGTTGAGTTCATTAATGTTAGTTGACGTACTACAAAACTTAGGACTAAGAGATATTGCTTGTAGCTAAATAGTTGATAATTTTATACTTGAGTAATTAAAAACATATTTCTCTGGAGACTCAGGAAAAGAAGCTTGAGTATCCGTCTCTTTCAAAGTTTTCATTAATTTCAAGATCAAGTCTTCTTTACGACTTTTGCTAACAATGTCAATGTAATCTTTGAATTTGAAACGTTGATCTTCTGACAAATCAAATAATATATGTGAACGTAAAGAAATATTCCGTTCCAATTCTGGTATTCTAGACTTCATCGACATAATTCAGCGTAAGGCGTTTCAAAGAACGATGATTTGGATGGATGTGGTTTCGGCGTAATGACTTAAAAAATGGTCTCGGATATTCACGTTTGTCTATACAGCTTTTCAGAAAATTGATTCTGGTATTCACTATGGCAAGCTTGACAAAGAAACTAAGGTACCCACTGGGTTCCATTACTGTCACTGGGTCCTTGGAGCTCTTCAGATAATTAAAATAACCCATTTTGCATTTTAAACTCTTATCAGTTACTATTATTATTATTACCTTATACAAGTTTTTTTTATTATTATTCAGTTTATTATTATGACCTTTGTGTTTGCCCCTTTTCTTCATATCTGTCAATTGGACCTATTATCTGACCCATAAATTATTTTCTTCCTTACCCCTTGATTAGTACGTAACCTCATTTGTTATTTATCCTCGAATCCATTTTGGTGATGCAATTTTTTCTATCCTCCTACAGACATACATTTTCCATATAACTATATATACGGATGTACAGCTTAAGTAAATTATCTCGTCGATAAGAAAATTTTCTTCGCTGCGAAACATTTTAATTGAAGTCCATCCAATAAAAATAATAATAATAATAACAACAATAGTGATTTTACGCAGAGATGGATGGCAATTAGCAGTGCAATCCAGTACATATGTCCCATCCTATTTAGGACTCGTCAGCTGGATAAACCGAGACCCCGGAATCGATGGTTACTCCGCGACACGAATTCAGTACTGTTCAGTTCAAACGCCATCACATAATCCCCTGGTTGTTCCGATTTTTCAGTTGAAGTTTAGAACTGAAATTGATAAGACTATTTTGGAATATGTGTATACTTTGTGAATTGCCTTGATATTTCCTTAAGTTACAGGCATTATGAGCAGAATTGGGATGGTGGCTAGCAGGCAATTCACATAGGATGCATAAATGCCAACAGACTGAAACATCATCGGGAAAATGCAAACAACCAATATATATTGGATTGAAATAACAATAATAATATTAATAATAGTAGGAGTATTGATGGTGATACTTCTATCACTTTAAAACCTATTCGTCACAGTAAGTGATTGTCATTAGGTTTACTTAATTAATTCCATAATGAACTCCATTTTTATTTCTGATTTCCGTTCTATCTCTTAACCAAGACTTGCATTTAGAATATTTGCATTCCAAGTTTGTGCTTAGAGATTTTATATTAAACTAGTTTACTTTACCAGCTTCAAAAACAATTATTATTTACCCAATAATTTGGGAACTGAATTCTGACTGTCTGAACTATCTGAGACTCGTCTGATCAGTCTGTGTCAAATGGTTCACAAGTCATCAGCCATTCTTAACGTTACCAATTGGTAGAAGAAATCTCATGTTTCGAAAGACACTTTTTACTGCTCTGAAAAAATTTTGTGATGCTTCAGAATTTGCATTTCTATCATTATCAGAAAATGTTTGAGTTATCTCATTGTTCATACTTTTTTTAGCTGAGATTTGGCCGGTCATTGTTGGCATATATGTATCCTCTACGGATTAACTCGATATAAGGATTTTGTCCCATGTTTTTGTAGAATAAACGGATTGTGTCTAGCAGTAGAATCGAGGATGCAAATTTCGTTCTCTACGATAGAATGTTATAATTATCATACCTGTTGTACAAATGAGTGACTGTTTGAATTTAATAGCTTAGAAAATAAGGGATTGACCGTTTTAACGGAAAGGTACTAAGTTTGAGTCCTCATAAGAACACGCAAGCTGGAACTTAGGTACATCGAACTGAATGCCGAATAGTACGAAACGTGAATGTTGGGTTCCATGGCTAATCACAGCTGGTTTGTTCTGCAAAACTTAACTGACCTTTTAAAATATTGAGTTTAAACGACATACCTAAAGACAGGTTAACCGATGATGGAAGAGCTAACTCATTGAAGGACATACTGATTTTAACCTCTTGGAATAATGATGACTCGTCAATGTATAAAGCCAAAAATAGTATTTTCGCGTACCTATGACAGTTCTTAATGTACAGTCTAATAATAACTTAATGTACGTGTATAAATTAATTTCTAAGCTAGAAATCCATATATTGTATTTAAGAAGAAAATTATTTTTGTAGAAATCTCGATTGGACTTAAAGTAAATTCATTCTTAAACTTAGCAGTCTGGTTCAAGCTTCTTTAAAGGGAGATCATTAAACTTTAAAGTCATCATATGTAAATGAATGATTCTCTCATTTGTTCTTATCAGTTATTTTGTCTAAGTGGATGGTAAACAACCAAGTCATTGAGCACAACCACTTAAACTTATATTTACTTGTTTCTTCATTTTCATTCGATTCATTCTGTGACAAGTTTGCTAGATAGTATTTATTACCTTGTCTAATTTTATCAACGACCATAACCTGAGGTCATATAATATCCATGAAATTTTCTGACATCAGATCTGAATATACTTCTTATATCTGGTTTTCCTACCAAATCATCCATGAACACTACAACATATTCCATGTTAATGTGATTTTACGACATGTTTATTACAGTTTTTGAATTATATTTTTATTTTCGATATTTTTAATATAGAATTATTTCCCCTTAAAGAGGCTTGAAACAGACTGCTAAATGAAACATTCTATTTACTTGAAGTTCAGTCGCTGAGAGTTTTAACCAATATAATCTTATTCTATTAATGTCTTACATTAACTAGACGTCCAACTACTATAAAACCATTCGTTAGAATTCAAACAAAATTCCAAATTTTGTTTTGGTGAACAATACATCACTTCAATGTTTTTCAACATAACAACTAGTTTCAGGATATTTTGTAATACAATGTTCAAGTTTATAAACAATTTCACAATTAATTTATAAACTCTAACTGTACGTAAGCAGATGAGATTTAAGTATTTTATGAAGCATCATGAAATAGATAGTTTACTGGTTATAACACTTATCTTTCAGCCATCAGATTGAAAGCTCAAAACCCCGCCTCACCTACTTTCGTTCTAGGTAGACCGATAGTTTCGCTAGTATTTCCGTACAAAGAATCTGATTACCAGATAATTTCTTAAAGACTATTTACTTTGTAAATAGTCTTTGTTAGCTTGTCTCAAAGTACAATGTTTTCTTTATAAATTGATTTCTGGTAAACTCATTTTAGAAAAATTATGTCTGCCATTGAATTTAGAAATAATAGTTGGAGCTATTGGCAATGTTTCACTAATCAATAATTATCATGTGTTTAACGTTTTCGGTCATTTTTCCATCTATCTAGTAGATGAGTAATGCATAAAGAAGTATAATTTCACTAAAATTTCTTTTCGAGCGTCTGCAGCTTTTCTCAACTAAATCCTATAATTTTCTCAGTATAGCATAGCCCACTATGTTTGATAAAAGCACAAATGTTGTGCACATTACGATTTGACATGAAAATCACACTAATATACAATACCCCATCCATTTAATGGATGGGAAAATGGTCAATAGTGCTGGGTACATGGTAATAATTGAGCATTGAATAGGTTTCGAATAACACCAGCCAACTAAATCCTGATGTTCCATTAAGAAACTTTAAAAGAAACCAAAATAAATTGAATTAATCTATATTATTAAAATATTAATAATGATAATAAGTATTTTTCCGACTGAATTAAATCGATTGAACAGTCTACCAATTCATTTGAAAATGATATATTACTTGTCTATAATTTTTTAATAGAAAAGTCTAAACATAATAAGATTTACTGAACATTGACCAGGAAGTTAAATATCATAGAGTTATGTATGCGTAACATTTGTGTTTTAAAAAAGCTTTTTCCTGTATTTTTTTACATATATAACTCACTGTGTATCATTGATATTTATTGATAGAACACTGAAACTAGTTGTACTGAATTAAAAGTAATGCCTACTACTACTACTACTACTACTACTACTAATAATAATAATAATAATAATAATAATAATAATAAAGAACTTTTTGATGTCATTATGATAAATAAAAAGTTGAATTTTTTAAAAATATATATTAGGTAAACACATATTTCTAATTCCTATATTTCTAAATCCTATTCTAAACAATATTACAGATGTTTATCAATACCATGTTATTTCATAAGTATTCATTGTTTGATAATTAAATTTTGAATATATCCTTCATTGATCTCACTGGTTTAAAAGTAACCATCCTGGTTAGGGGTAGAGTTGTGAGTGTGCACTACAGAGGAATCTGATTAAAATAGGATTGAACAACTTTGCTTTAACTTGATACTCAATAAACTTCACACATGTGAAAGTTATTTGAGTCAAATTTTTAGTTTGAAGAGATGTGTCGTAACGAAAATACCTATTTTACTAAATCTGTGATATTTTGAAGTGATATGTATTGTTTAATAAAATATAAACAATTTAAAATAAACAACCTATAAAAGTTTATTTAAATGAGTTGTATTGAATAGTTTTGACAAATTAATCATTA